TGGGTTTTTTTTATTTCAAAAATGTACTGTGTAAGGAATTCTGGTGACATTTATCCTTGATGTTTCCCATTTTGCATCCACATTTAGATATACATCCTAATACCCAATATTTTGATACCATTTGTTGATGTGTAGAAATGTTATCCTTGGTACCCAGAAGGTAATCCACACACTTTATAGTGAAAGAGCCTGCTGTTATTTAATGATAGCTCCTGACCTAGATAGTTTTGAAAAGCAATTTTTAAAAACACAGAAAAGAAAAGAGGTCTGTTGAGTTAATCTCAATGTAAAGTGCCTCACTAAATAAAAATCTGGAATGTTAATAAACATCAAGGAGCAAGAATGAGGGAGCATCCATAGACAGTATGTATTTCAGAGGTATTTAATTCACCAATGGGAAATAAAATTTTGCTATATTTTCAGTCTGATTAAAACTCTTCTGATGGTTTTATGTGTTGTTGGGTGGCATGATCTCCACGGTTTAATCCCTGAAGATTTTAGAACACTACACAAAACTAGGAGGTGTAGAGATGACCTACATACAACTTTGAAATTACCATAGTTTTATGGGACAAGGATGCAAAGTGATGGGAACTTTATCACGTAGATTGGTGGGATTTTTCTTGTTCTTCCCCAGGCTTAATTGGAATATTCTGGAAAGTGTGTGCATGTGCACGTGTGTGTGTTTTAACTATATTAAATCTATTGGGAGAGTTGCGTTACAGTTTTGTAATGCTTCTCTCAAAATGACATGGGACGATCTTCAGCAATTGAAAAAACTAACCTTTTCAGCAGTGATATTCACAGGGGTTTAGGAAAGTGCAGGTTGGTACTCTGGCCCAAAAGGTGGGCCTATCCTGGGATCCCTGAAGTCAACTGGGTTTGTTTTTATGCAGGAGGCTCAGCTAGCGTGTTTTGAGTTTCAGGACGGGTTGAGAAAGATTAGGACTCCCAGATATAGGCTGCAAATATGCAGATGACCTCAAAAAGGCGGCAAAGAATACAATTCTGTATTTAGAATTTTCACCTTTTCCATTTTGACTTTGTTGTAATTGTGGTATACTGATTACGTTCCTTTCTGTGGGTTGTTGTTGTTTTTTGCATCTAAACACCTTCCTAATTTCTGAATATACTGATGTGCTATTCTTGATGGCAGACCTGTTCTGTTGTATGTAAAATGTACAACAAGCATTTTGAGGTGTTTGTTGTATATCTGTGATATATGCTTTTGGCCTCCCTATTCCAAGATGTTTCCTGTCTTTCACAGTATTTCTTACAGTAACATAGTTTTTATGTATGTGTATGTGTTCAGGCATATACAGGTAGTGCTCCACTTACTACCACAATTGGGACTGGAACTTCTGTCGCTAAGTGATGAAGTTGTTAAATGAGTCATGCTGACTTTATGACCTCTTTTTGACATGGCTGTCAGGCAAATCATACTGTGCTGAAGCAAATCTGGCTTTCTCCATTGACTTTGCTTGTCAGAAGCCCCAAGGAAGGTTGTAAATGGCAATCAGGTGACCTTGAGATGCTGCAACCATGGTAAATAAATGCCAGTTTCCAAAGTGATGGAATCACAATCCCATGTCCATGAGGACATTGCAACGGTCATAAATGCATCAACCGGTCATTAGTCACTTATTAAATGCTGTCGTAACTTTGAATGGTTGTTAAGCAAATGGTTGTAAGTCAAGGACTATCTGTATAATGAAAAGGGAATGAAAAAAAATGACCTCATAGCTTAATTTGATTTGGAGGGGGCAGGAGCCAGTTTGGGGAAGGAAAGAAGTCTAACCTCTAGCAAGACTTAGCATAAGGTCTCATGAGAAAGTAAACAGTTTATTGCATCTGTACATTTAAATGTCAAGTGACTGTTTTTATGTCCTGGTAGCTTGGAGTCATTCAACAAAAATCAGTCTTGGTTGTTTGATGTATTATTCCCATGCCCACAGTTCATTATTTTATCAGGAATGCAGGCATAGATAAGGATGGCTGCATGGTAGAGTCTTTCATCTTCCTGAATGAGGAGCATAACATTAAGCTGCTGCCTGTTATATCTAACCTGTACAATTACCATGGCAGGAATACTTGGCTGGGTAGATGCTAGGCTGATTAGAGCTGAACCAAAAAATCCAACCCTCTTCAGAGCGTTATTATTATGGTTTTTTATTGTTTTTTGGAAGATTTTCTTTAAAAATTAAAAAACACCCTTTTTATCTGATCATATCTCTCAATTGATATGACCTATATCAGAACATATTCTCAGTAACACTGACTTCCAGTCAGTTATGATTAACTAGTTATTGTAGTGAATTTAACTCTTTCATTATGTAATCCTTAATCAGTTAGGATCTCCCATATCTCATCCAGAGAAGAGAAAAGAGTAGGTAATTGGAGGGAACCACGGAGAGATACAGTAGCAACAAATATAATTTTAATGTGATAGATCGGTTTTTCTCAACTTTGGCCACTTTAAGATGGATGGACTTCAATTCCCAGGAATGCTGGGAGTTGAAGTCCATCCATCTTGAAATGACAAGGTTGAGAAACAATATGATAGATTTTCATATACAGGAGACTACACATTTTCAAGCTTTTAGGCCCAATTTGAAATTTTGCATTGTGTCCTTGATGCCACAAAAATTGTCATGGCAGTGGGTGTAATCAGCCACAAAGTATTGGGAATGCTCCCCTTTTGTTTGTAAGAAGGGTTATAAATTTTGTATTGAATGGATAGTTTCTCTTCATAGTGCCCTTTTCTGCCTCCTAGCATTCTCTCTCTCTCTCTCTCTCTCTCTCACACACACACACACACACACACACACACACACACACAGAGAGAGAGAGAGAGAGAGAGAGAGAGAGGGAGGGAGGGAGGGAGGGAGAGAGGGAGAGATTCATCTGAATCTTTCTTATCATTACTAGCTTCAAAGTTTTCCTGGACACAGGACACCTTGAAATTCTGACCTATAGCTACCTAGCATAATTTTTTTTTAAAAAAAAAAATTACTAGTCACATATATCAGAAAAATGAAGATGGTGCTGGTATCCAAAAACTGGAATTTTACTTTAGAGTACTGTAATTCCAACAACTGGGTAAAAAAGTTAAGTGGGAGTGTCTATACTGAACCCCTGCACATCATCTACCTGATCCCCATTTCACCCCCTTGCCTAATGCATCAATATACGGGAGAAAACATTACATGAAATGCTAGAACTAGCAACATTAACGGGCAACAAATTTAAATCAATAAATAAACAGTAGCTTGTTTAGAGTTTAAAAGCCTGTTGAAATAAAAGGGTTGGGAGAAGCCCTTTGTGGTCTTCTATAATTTTAACTCCTAACTCTCCTGAAAGCTTCTGCTTTTTCTACCTGCCTGTCTACTCTTCACATAACAATGGGGCAGAGATCCATCTTCTGGAATACTGTCATTTTCTCATCTATTTCAGTTTTTCCTTGTTTGACTTTTTTTTTTGTTGTTGTTCTGTTTAGTTACTCAGAGTGAGCGGTAAACCAATTCTATAGATATTTATCCTGCCAAGGCAAGATAATCACCTCTTTGTCTGGCCCCTAGAAGAAAAGCTGCAGCTGCACAGCTGAGTAGGCATCCTCACAATAATGGAAAAACAGCAGTTTTTTGGCATCAACATTACTGATTTGTACAGTTTGTATCCTGCTTATTTATGCTAGCAAATTTACAAGGGTGTGAATGAATGAAGTCTGTTGATGTCATTAGTGATAATAATAGTGGAAGGGGGTTTGGAAAAAATTAAAATAAATTGACTTGTGCTGGCAAAATCAGCCATGACCCTTATAGAATATCTGTCATGGCTAGCTGGTCTGACTTGTATCCTGAAAACCTGTGCTGCTGCTGGATTTACTGATTTCTTTTTGATAAAGTAAGTTCTTTGAAACATAACAGCACTGCTTGTTTTGAACCAACACATTTAAAACCTAACCAGTTAGAGATCAAAATATACAATTACATCTCCAGAAGTTTTGTTCATAAAATGACTTTACGGTAGTACAGAATTTGTATACATTGGACTTTAAATACATTGACCTAAGTAAATGTTACAGTATATCTATATGTAGTTTCTCCCAAGTATGATCAGTAGCCATTACAAAGCTGTTCTGTTCCATTACAGTGTGGAAATTGTTATTGACTAAATATCTTTCCATCATCTTCCTTGCCAAGATTCCAAACTAATGTTTGTTAGATCTACTTGAGGGCTTCCTGAAAACCATATATTCCTTCTCCTGCTGTTCTTCCATAGCAATTAACCTATATACTTCTCTATCTGAACATGGAGATTTTAGATAATCACGAAGAACTATTAAACCTCTGTTGCTCACTGAATTTCTTTAACTGCCATTTAAAGGCATTTTGAGATAGTAGCTATGTCGGTAACTTATGCAGCACATTTTATCCATCAACACTGTGTGAAGAATTGATCTGTTTCCCTTGGAAGAAAAACATAACTACACAGGTTGTGATTGGGGTTACCAAGTTCAGTTGGTAAGCAACCAGATAACATTAAACCCATGTTTAAAATCAGCTGGCCAATGGAATGCTGCATAGTGCACTGAGGGAGAACTACCTGCTGAGGCAGCTATTTTTAAACATAGATTTAAAAAGATTTAATACTCTTCTGAAATAGCATTCAACCCATGGTTTAAAAATAGCCTTAGGACATCTCATGAGTGGTGTGGTCCAGTAGGAGTTTCAGCTGATGGGCACATGGAGGAGGGTTTTTTAGTGAATGACAGAAAGGCTTCTAAATTATGTGTCAATGAGTGCCTCTCCCTCCCACCGAATCATACAACCCTTCAATGCCTCTCTACTGGCATGGTGAGGTTTTGCAATGAAATCTTCCTACTACTGGACCATGCAAACTCCCCACTCCCATGTACCTGTCAGAATGATGACTTATTGAACTGTCCAGCTGTTGTGAGCCATTGCACTAATCTCTCTTACATGTTGCTTCTTCTGCAGGAGTTTTTTGAGAATCCTGCCTTTCGCCCAGATGGCATGAAGCTATACCCAACACTTGTGATCCGCGGCACTGGCCTCTATGAACTCTGGAAAACTGGGAGGTACAAAAGCTATCCTCCAAGCACCCTTGTGGATTTGGTGGCAAGAATTCTTGCCCTCGTGCCTCCCTGGACTAGAGTGTACAGAGTACAAAGGTAACATTTGCCTTGCTCATGCTAACTCTTCATAAAATATGGTAGTGCATCAGTGGGGCTGAGATAACAAAACAGCTTGATTTCCTCATGCAGCATCTATTTCTGACTTTATTATCCTCTCAGAATAAATGTTTCTGGAAATCTAAATCCTTTAACCATCCCTCACTTCCCTGAAAGTAACTGGCAATGTTGTACTTCTCCTGCTCTGTCATTCAAATTCTCATCACAAATATCAAGCCATTACATGTGATTCAGGATGAATCGACACACTAGGCTAATGTTATGATAATTGTGGCCTGTGCTTGATAGCTCATTTGTGCATAACTACTAAAGCTCATCTCTGATGAGTCACTATAGATAGTGGCCACTTGCATCTTGGATAGATACTTGCAAATGAGCTTTGAAAATAAAAACCAAACTGGGGAAGGGGTAAACAATGGTGATCTGTAGCTATTCAGCAAATGTGGATTGGCCCCTAGGCAATAAGGGATGAAGGACAGAAGAGCACATTGGGCAATAGAGAACAGTATTAGTATTAAACTACTATGTGGTGAAAGAGTGAATAAATGAGGGCATTTTCCTGGAGTAGCCAGGAAAAGGAAATATTCTAGTGGAAAGATATTCCTAAATTGCAATTCACTGCAGCCCATCCAATGTGATCAGTGTTATTAGATGAGAGGAATAGCAGCCTGGGAATATTTGGAGGATCACATTGTCAATTCTTACTCTACTATACATTTGAATGATGGCTATGCATATGACAGCCAGTCATATGCTGAACTATTTGCATAACTTGTTTTAGCCAAAAGAAGGAATACATTGCCTTTTTTCAGTCAAAATATTGGCAAATGCTGATAAACATTTCAGAATATTAATCCCATGTTTATCATCACCGATTTTCACCCAGTGAGGGAAGAATATCCCATTTGTAATTGTCAGCACAGAATGTTTCTGATAACAGCTGGTCTGCTTAAGGATGGGAATTAATAAGAAGCAATGTAATTATCAAGTAATTTGTCTTTGCCTGTCACTCGATCGAAACCATTTGTAGGGGACTACGAGGAATGTAATTTTTTTAAAGATATAGTCTTCAAAGCTTGGCTACCATTAAAATAACCAGTGGGACTCTAGACAATCAGAAAAACACCTCATGGTGGTATTGTGCAACATGTTTCTTCAACCTGATGCGTTTTGATTGTATTAGATTATACCACATTAGTACTGATAGCTTGAAATGCATGTATAGGGAAGCCTCAGTGATAAAGATTATCTTAGATTTTTTTCCTTTTTTTTTTTTTTGACATAACAGCTGCCCTTTACCAGCTAAATTTCCCAGCTTATATAGTAATAGAAGGGGGGCTCTACTCTTAAATGTTCATTTGTAATATTGCCATACTCAATAAGCCTTACCTATTATATGGCTTCTGACTTGATGTCTTGCCTTGTTGAAAAAATTATTAGAGGAATCTTTGGGCAGGTAAACTTCAGCAAACATCCCAAGCTGTCTTTGCTGCTGGAAAATCCAGCGAGGACATCTTAAACCTTTGACATCAATGGAGAGAGAGAATTGAGATTTGACTTTACACTCTTAAAATTTGCCATATTTGCATATGTGTGTATGTTGATCTTGAGTCATAGCCTCTCCTAATGCAGAAATAAAAAGACGTTTCCTAGCAGATGGCCACCCAGTGCCTTTGGGCGTGCCAGTATACTGTGTCACTGTTCCAGAGATGATAGACTTGTCAGAGGATACTGCTATGTAGGCTACGTGCTAGGGTGCAAGAATGGTTTTATTGACATCCCTGTGGTGAGTCATGCAACAGCCTGACTTTCCTCAATATTTTGGTAATTGGAAAGGAGCACAGCTCTCTGATGGCTGCCTCTGTTCTAACGTGCCTAGATGGAAATTGCATTCTCCTCCAGTGTATCCTTTAGCTGGCACAGGGAGGTGCTTATTAACTCTTAACTGTTACTGCCTGAAGACTGTTAATGTCTGTTGACTAGATGAGGTTGTATTTACTCCCAGGACGCAGCTGAATAAATTAATGAGTGAGCTAATTATTACTGTCTTCCGGAGAGAGGAAAGGATAGGTGGTTGATGTAGAAGAGAGCAGGGGGTGAGGAAATTAAGCCCCAGTGTGCCAGGAGAGAGGAAAGGATAGGTGGTTGATGTAGAAGAGAGCAGGGGGTGAGGAAATTAAGCCCCAGTGTGCCAGCGGGTGAAGAATGTCGTGATAATCTGCCTTATCCTATCACCAGCAAGCCTCTTTTCTCTTCTTACATTACCAACTTTTGTAGTCCCCTGATCTTTTTTTCATTTTCCTTGCAACAAGATAGCAGTTTTCACCCAGACATACTGGAACTTTAAGAGAAGTTTCAGAAATGCTGTCTTTTTGGCTTCGCTTTCTCTTATACTTTACTCTCTTAGACATATGCCATGTCTTTCACTCAAAAAAACTTCTAAGATCCCTCTCTCTCAGGTCAATCTCTGGCATGACCCCATAGTTCTTATCTCCAGCCAAAAAAAGCCAAATAGACATAGCATATGCCCAATATAATGTTTATATCTCTAGTCCATACTAATTTTCCTGGAAGGATGTTTTAGATCAATGAAGGAGTTTTCTATCTCCCACTCTTATATTTATTTATATTTTATACAGTATTTCTTCACCATCCATCCCACCCATGTAATTATATTGCAAAAGTGTAATTCCCTTCACTTTTTTCCCAATAAAATGACAATGAATTGGGACATATGACCCACTGTTAGATGTCACTGGGTGGCTTCCTCTTAATGATTGTACCATATTTATGTTTTCCTTTTCAGTTTTCTCTCTCTGCTAGACCAGTCATCTTCTATTTGATCAAAGTTTATGTTTAGATTTCAGTTCAACTTCTTATATTATTTATTATGTCTTGCCTTTTTTCCAAAATCTCAAAGAGAATACCAGGATGGGAAAGGTATTCCATCACTTGATCCTTGTGAAGCATGTTGGGTTGAGAACAAATGACCTCTTTTTATAGGGCTGAGGATTTGAACCTGGTTCTTGGTCCAAGTATAATATCCAAATTATTATATAGCACTATTATCTGTGTCTCTAGGGCCTGTCCAGTTGTTATGGATTTTTTTGTCTCAAAATATGAAACAATCTTCAACTTTATTTATATGAGGGTTAAGCAAATTCTTGAATCTCAAGCAGTGGTGGGATTCAGCCAGTTTGTGCCGGTTCGCCTCACTTCAGTAGAACCGGTAGCTAATTTTTTGTTGATTTTGGTGAACTGACTGATTCCTTGGCTTAGCCCTTTTTTGCAAGGCCCAGAATGGCCCACCAGAAGTGCGTGGACGCCATTCCAGAAGTCTGTTCTGAGCCTTGGAGGCCTGGGGAAGGCCTCCCCGGCTCAGAATGGACTTCTGGAAGTGGCGTCCATGCAGAGAACCAGTTGTTCAGGTATTTGAATCCCACCACTGATCTCAAACCTGTTAAATAGTTGCTAATAATTACGACAGTGTGATATTTCTATGTCCAGAGGCAATGCCTTTCTGAAATCTAGCTCAGTGTTTCTCAGCCTTGGCAACTGTAAGATATGTAGACTTCAACTCTCAGGATTCCCTGCCGAAGTTTGCCAAAGTTGTAAAACTTTGTAAGAGCCGAGGTGGCGCAGCAGTTAGAGTGCAGTACTGCAGGCCACTTTAGCTGACTGTGTTCAGCAGGTCAGCGGTTCAAATCTCACCGGCTCAAGGTTGACTCAGCCTTCCATCCTTCCGGGGTAGGTAAAATGAGGACCCAGATTGTTGGGGGCAATGTAAATATATATATACATTGCTTACTGGTGTACACCGCTTAGAGAGTGCTTGCACTTAAAGCAGTATATAAGTCTCATAAATAAATAAATAAATAAAACACTAGTCTAGCTAATAGAGATAAACAATGGGGTGGGATATTTCTAAGTTTTGTGGAAGCATTTATTTGGACATTTTGGGAACCAAACTTCGATTCAGTGGATCTGTGTTCTAAATCAGCGACACTATTCCTAATGTTCATAGTTCAATTATTTGCTTAACCCTCATACAAATAAAGTTGAAGATTATTTCATATTCTGAGGCAAAAAATTCCATAACAACTGGAAAAGTGCCAGAGTAAATCAAAACACAATGTATGTGGACAGGAAATAGATGACAGCAGAAGAAGCAACAGTGTCATTTTAGATATTGATGCTTCTCCAAAAGAACAAATGTGTCATATTTGGAATTATTCCACATTTATTTGAATTATTATTGTAGCAACCTTTTTCGCTATGATCGCTAAACAAACCATCGCAAATCCAGCTCCCCTCATTGACTTTGCTTGTCATATGCCCCCTGGGAAGCAGTCATGTTGGGATTCTGCAACCATTGTAAATACCTGCTGGTTGCCTGTCACCTGAATTCTGATCATGTGACTACAGGGACACTATGACAATTGTTAGTGTGAGGACCGGTCATAAGTCACTTTGTTCAGTGCTGTTGTAACTTTAAATAGTTATTGCATGAATGGTCATAAGTCAAAGCAATGGCAAAGACAGCAAACTCTTAATCAGGTATCAGGAACAGCACCAGAACAACACAGGGATGAAGTCCTGCTAGGTCTGATTCAACCAAGTAGTAGTAAACAAAGAACTGTTGTATTTTATATTTAAAGCATTGGTGGTTATTTTTTTGAAGTTATGTTTTTGTTTGATGGAGGGTCTATTTCTTGCAGGGATATCCCAATGCCTTTAGTCACTTCTGGAGTGGAACATGGTAACTTGAGAGAATTGGCTTTGGCTAGGATGAAGGACTTAGGAACAGAGGTACAACACATAATTTTATTCAGTATTTCTTACATCTACCAGACTTGTGTCTATTCTTATCAGTACTAAGTATAATTGTTTTGGTTTGCAAGATCTGCCCAAAATCACTTGGTAGAGAGGTGGGCAGCACACAAATGTATTAAGTAAGTATTTTCCTTGCATGTAGGCCTGAGTACAGCCATAAAGATTATTGAAGAAGGAATAGCTACAAATAGTGAAACTTTGTTTTTCTGGAAGGGTACATAATAGGCAGCCGGAAGTCCTTCAAAACAATCGCCTCATCACAGATTATTTGCATTAAAATTATTATTCTCATCATTGTGATGATGGATAAATACACTCCATCCTGCTGACTTTTTTCAAATGTACAGAACTAATATGGAGGAGACGTATGCTTCTGATTTTGGGTTTTTCCATCTAAATTAATAATCCTTATTCAGATAAGTGGGGGGGGGGAGGTAAAGGGGACAGTCTCAGGATTCCTCCTGAACACCCATAAAGAATAGTTCAATCTAGATATGAAAAGGCCTGTCTAGAGTCAGCCAAACACAGGACCTGATCTGAATGTGGCAATTTCACTATATGGTAACCATATAATTCAATGGTCCACAACCTTTCTGGCTTTGTGGACGGGGGGGGGGGGCAAGAGGAAATTATTTTGTGGGGGCAGCAGATGCACATGCTTGTATGCACAGATCCATTTGCACAAGTAGCAGGCACTCTCACACACGCCTGAAGCTCCATTTGTGCGAACGACAGGTCCCTCGCACAAATGGAACTTCACATGCATGCATGAGTTCCTGTTGCTCGCGCAAACAGAGCTGTGTGCACAAGCGTGCATGTCTGGCACTTGCATGTCCCTGTTCTAAATGGGCCACAACCCAGTACCAGGCCATGACCCAGGGGTTGGAGACTCCTGATATAGTTGATTTATAAAAGACTATTCTGGGTTAGCAAAATATATTTAAAAAAAAATCTATTTACAATAGATAGGTCTTCTTTACACCTTGAGCTATACAAAGATAATTTATATGCTCTTAGGATTAAAAGAATTTGAAGTGCCACCAATTATTGTTCATGGAAAAGGGTATTTTTTCTGTTGAGCAAAACACATTGTTGCTTCTCTTTCCTTGATATACTTAATGTATTTATATAGGATAGAAATAAATAACCGTTTGGACTAAAAGTACATTTGGAACATTGAGAGCATATGGTGGATGCATCCTCCAAGGATGACTATAATAGGAGACTGCTACAGTAGACGTGGCCAGTCACATAGAGACAAGTTGTCTAATATACAAGTGAGACTTTGTGAAGCCCAAAGGCATTGCCTCAAATCAATTATGTTTATTGAAACTGGTGCTTTGCAGCATGCCAGGATCCTACTTATTTTTTTAAAAAGAACGTTGGGTACCATAGGGAGCCTAGACTACAAGAAGTTGGGAAGTGTTTTGGTGCCCAGGAGCACTTACATCCTTTCCCTGCTGCAGAGGAAAATGTCACATTTTCTGCGTACTCAACTGAGAGGCTTGCATTCTGAGTGATTTGCAGTAGCAGAAGAAAAATGTTGAAAAATTATTAGTCTAAATTAGCCAGGATTAAGATGAATATCTTGGGTAGATCAAGATTTACATAGCACCTAAAGATATTCAGGATTCACAGCAATCTTACTAGTACAGAAGGAAAATGATAAACAGTATTGCTGTTATTTCCACTGAAAATTCCTTGAAGAAGATAGTCATTGCTGAAGAGGTTCATTTGAGAGTGGCTGAACTTAGGAATTTTAAATGGCTTTAAGGTTAAAACAAATGCTTGATTTGTGCTTAAAAATGGATAATAGCTGTTTAAGAAGCAATCTGCTGTGCTCAGATTTTTTGGGGTCTTTCAAGCATTGCATCAGACTTCTAGACTGTTTTTAAGGCAGTCAAGATATGAGGTAGTACACTAGCTTTATCTCCGTCCTTGGTAATCATCATTTTACAATATCTAGAAGTCACATTCTTTTCCTCTCTCTCTTTCCCCATAAAGAATGATCACAACTGTTATACCACACTGAACTTGTCATACTTTGGATATTTTGTGCCATTGATGTCACTTGTACATCCACAACCAGGGGTCAACACTGCTTGAAACTCTGGGTTAAGAACTAGATGATTTATAGATCAGATCACATGTTGCCTTCTAAAAATTTTGGATTACAGTTTTCTTAAACTGTCATCCAAGCCATTCTCTATGCTTGATAGGAGATAAACATATGTTGCTTGTCCTGTTTTAATGTAATCTCACCCAGAATAAACAATATATTTTTCATCATATTTGAAAGATTCTTGCCCCTAAGCCTTTCTTAGAGAAGCATGGCAAGTTTCAGTCCCTAATCCTCCATGGAAAGTAAGTACACTCTACATTTGTGACAATTTTTTCAGGAGTTTCTCTATCTGCACAGCTTTAAATTAGCGTGTTCACCATCTCTGCTTCAGTATTCATTTATCCAATGCAAAACACAGTTTAATTCATTTATCCAATGCAAAACCCAGTGGTGTCTTATTTCGTGATCACATGAAGTGTTAATACCACTTTATAACACCTTGGTAAGGCCACACTTTGAATACTGCATCCAGTTTTGCTCACCATGATGTAAAAAAGATGTTGAAACTCTAGGAAGAGTACAGAGAAGAGCAACAAAGATGATTAGGGGACTGGAGGCTAAAACATATAAGGAACGGTTGCTGGAATTGGGTATGTCTAGTTTAACGAAGAGAAGGACCAGGGAGGACATGATAGCAGTGTTCCAATATCTCAGGGGCTGCCATAAAGAAGAGGGAATCAAGCTATTTTCCAAAGCACCTGAAGGCAAGACAAGAAGCAACAGATGGAAACTAATCAAGGAGAGAAGCAACCTAGAACTAAGGAGAAATTTCCTGACAATTAGAACAATTAATCAGTGGAACAACCTGCCTCCAGAAGTTGTGAATGCTCCAACACTGGAAGTTTTTAAGAAGAGACTGGACAGCCATTTGTCTGAAATGGTATAGAGTTTCCTGGGGGTTGGACTAGAATATTGCTCAAGGAAACTAGTGTCTGCTAATATATGCAATGGATGGGCTTTTATTTTATATACCAGGCTTTTCCTTCCTTTTTGCCTAGAGATGTATTAGGAATGGATAAGTAAGTATTGTTATTTTAAAATCTTCCATTCAAATTATCATTTTGTCTATTTTAATTTAATTTTAAACCCTGGAGGAAGCGGTGGTGACGATGAGGGCACTATTCCTTAGCCTAAATATGTTTCCTGTTGCAATTCTTGTCTGTCTCTTCTTATTTGAAGCTTTGTCACTTACTCTTCCTATCTAGTGCCGTGATGTGAGAACAAGAGAAGTTGGAATACAAGAAATACATCACAAAGTCCGACCTTACCAGGTGAGTTTTGTTTTTTCTGCGTGTGAGTGTTTAAAAAGAGAACTTGACACCCTTTAATAGAGGTTGAGACAACAGAAATGCTTGTCTTTGTTCCCAAAGTAACAAAAGAAATCTGCCTCTTATCAAACCGAATCAGTAGTCTAAATAACAGTGAATATGTCTTGAATAAAACATCTCAGCTAGTGATTCTTAATTGGTGATACCATCAATAGAAAGTAAAATTGAACCAAATTAGGTGGGATGCAGAATATGCTTAAATGTCCATCTAAAGAGAAAAGGCACAACTGCATTTCCTGATTCACTGCTGACTGTGGTTCATCCAGCTTTCTGTCTAACACATCCACTTCTACTCTTGTAAATCCTCATCAGTTTTACAATTCCTGGAAGAAGAAAAATCATGTTTACCTTACATCTGCCAGAACTTGAAATGCTGCTGTTGTGGGTTGCAATGGCCATAGTGTCTATTGCTAGTCTAAGGAGTTGAACAATTGCCACTTGGTACTTAGCAGCAACAGAAGCCATCAGAAGTGAAAGGCAATGTGTCATTCCTCTCTGCAAGCCAACTGGGTTGTCCCAGTTATGTATCCCATAACTCTCCTCCTTTCTTTTATAATTTCTGTTAGGAACTGATACTGGCATTGGCCCATATATGCCCATTGACAGGGATCCAAATGGTCTCCTTTCCCACAGGGCGGCTTTGACTATTGCAAAGATTTATTGGGCATTGATCCTTTCCTTTCATTTTAACAGCTGCCTTCTAGGTAGAATTTTCCCTCTTAGCAGCCAATAGTAGGAGAAGAAGTGCTGGCTGAATTTCTGTCTCATCCATCATAGTTATCCAAAAGCCTTTTTTTTTTTTTTTAGTATCTGAGAATTCAACAAGAAATAGTTAACCTGAGAGCCCTTTATCCAATTCTTTTTTTCCATACCTTTTTATTTCTGGAGAGATCTAAGTTCTTTGGCAGATGCAGTTATAGGTATAAAAGGTTGAGAACCATTGATCTTGCTTGCTTTATTAACAAAAATTATTCAGTTTTTTTAAAAATATGTTTATTTCGGGGGGTGGAATCATTTCAGCAAATAAAATTACCATAAGTCAAATAAACATGTTACCAAGCATCTCAGCCAATTTAGGCTCAGAAAATTATTTTCCAGTTCAAAAAGCATGTTTATCTGTGATAGAAAACATTCTATTAACATTTTGTTAACATTCCAGAAAGCTGTGAAAACACTGCTTTTACAGAGAGCCCTCCAGGGCAAACAATGCTATTTAATTGGAGGAAAGTGTTTGGGGGAGGGGGGGTTCTAATTTATTGTGGCTCCATGATATTGCTTTGTGGTATGTTTTTATGAGATGAAAGCTGCCTAAAACCTTTCAATGAGACAGTACACAAATACATACTGAAATTATAAAATAGATTACAGTATAATCAGCTGTGGATGATAATTACAATACGTTTTGTTTCTAGTTACTTATTCCAGGAATATAATAATCCACCATGGAACTTTAGTTCCTGGAGGTAGTTTAGAAGTGGACAAGATCAAAGAAAGCGAAGATGAATCCAGATTAGAGGCTATGGCTATGGAAGATGATCTTTCTGAATGGAGGTATTCATTCTGTTCTGACTGAGGAGGCTCAGGTGGCAGCAGAACCCTGGAATGAATCTTAATAACTCGACCAGTAAACTGTTTGCAGGGGAAGAGAGCCAGTTTGCACTAGTGGCAGATTAAAATTTCAAGAAGGACGAGGGGGGACATAATAGCAGTGTTCCAATATCTCAGGGGCTGCCACAAAGAAGAGGGAGTAAAGCTATTCTCCAAGGCGCCTGAAGGCAGGACAAGAAGCAACGGATGGAAACTGATCAAGGAGAGAAGCAACTTGGAACTAAGGAGAAACTTCCTGACAGTTAGAACAATTAACCAATGGAACAACCTGCCTCCAGAAGTGGTGAATGCTCCAACACTGGAAGTTTTTAAGAAGAGACTGGATAGCCATTTGTCCGAAATGGTGTAGGGTTCCTGCCTGAGCAGGGGTTGGACTTGATGACCTCCAAGATCCCTTCCACCTTTATTATTATGGATCATCATCATCGAGTCCTATTATTATTAGCATATGAGAGCCATGGTGGCAGAATGGTTAGACTGCAGTATTGCAGGCTAATTCAGCTCACTGCCAGGAGTTCGATCCTGGCCGGCTCAAGGTTAACTCAGTCTTCCATCCTTTTGAAGTCAGTAAAATGAGGACCCAGATTGTTGGGGGCAATGCGCTGACTTTGTAAACTGCATAGAAACGGCTGTAAAGAACTATGGAGTGGTATACTGTATAAGCCTTAAGTGCTATTGCTATTCCCAACACTCTAGAAAATCCTCAGTTTATATGAAATATCCCAAGTACATCACATCATCTTCTGTATCAAGATTTATGCAGCATGGCCAGCTATATGATCTGATTATCAGAAGCAACAAGATGACTTTATAATTGACTCTATCACCATAAGCAGAAGCAAGGTTGAGTCTAGAATTCATAAGTTCAGTATCAATAGATGTTCAGGAATTTGAGCAACAAAGCAGGAACAAGGTGAAGAAATTTGAGCAGTCTCAGCAAGCATAGCTACATAGAAGAACAAGCTGTCACTGACATTGTGTTTGAATTCTCTCAAGCAGAGGTTTATAAAATGGAAGCTCCTGGCCACTGCCCAGATAGTATCATAGCTCATCAGAGCTGGATCAGAAAGAGAGCTCCTTGACCTCTTGAAGAAGAGAGGCTATTTGGGAGATGGGACAAGGCAGGAGTTCTTACTAATGTAAAATAAAATTCCTAAGGAGATAGGAATTCCACGCTGGCTGTGGAATTCTGGAAGTTGAAGTCCACATGCCTTGAAATTGTCAAGTTTGGGAAACACTGCTGTAGGGCTATCTTCAAGTGTTTCCTCTAGAGCAGCAACTGAACTAACCCAGCCATAACCAATCAACAATTAATAAGTTCATCTTGTGAAAACCTCCAGAAATTTCACAGTATCAGGAGTCAGAAGCATCTCTTCAATCCCAGATTTAAGCTGGCCTCATGTAGAGGGGCCCATATTCTTCATGCTCTAGTGACTAGACCTATTTGTTTCTACATTGCATGCAATGCAGAACTGTTCAAAACCTACCTCTTTTTACTTCCGGAGTACTAAGAGCCTAAGAAGAGACTTTAATTAGACAAGGATCCTATCTTTTGTAATATTTTGTTCCCATTTTGTGGTCAGCCATGAGCAAAAAAATGCACATATTGTGGCTAAACACTATGCTTCTTCATATATTCTCAGCAGAAAATGTTGAGAGGCCACAAATGCTTCAGTCTCTTCTGAAAAGTATTCTTGTGATTTTCTACAAAAGATGTTTTCATTAAACATTTTAACTTCTGTGAAAAGACAATAATCATACTTTTTGACTCTTATCTAGGCTGTTAGAAAGCCATCTATTGTGACCTGCACATAGTGAAAATATTTCATGCTGTTTTTCTCCTGCACAGAAAATTGCCTGCATCACCGTGAAATTGGCTTTGGTCTCTTTTGAGTGCTGCACAGTTTTTATAGTGATTACTATCTAATATCATTTATCAACCTTTTGGCTCTTCTTTCACTTTTGACCAGGTTGAACTGGTCCGGAGAGACTATGTGGCCAATGGTGGTTGGGAGACTTTTCTTGCTTATGAAGATCCTCAACAGGACATTCTGATTGGACTTTTACGTTTGCGGAAGTGTTCGGAGGACACATTCAGACCCGAGTTGAAGGGTGGTGTTTCCATTGTCCGGGAACTCCATGTCTATGGGAGTGTGGTTCCTGTCAGCAGCCGAGATCCCTCTAAATTCCAGCATCAGGTAACTGCAGCTTATTAAAGTAAACAGTAGCAGCAACATATAGAATTAATCCATCTGCCTTTGATGTATATTGATTTTTTGAGCTTTTGAATAGGGTATCATTTTATGATAAATGTAAAAGTAAGTAAAGTCTCCTTTGAGTCAAGCTGAACTCCAGATGATCTTGACTTGATTAGGTAATTCTCTTGGCAATAAAATGGATATAATTGGTCACTACATTCATTCTAGGGATACTTTTTCAAATTCCTAATCTAGCTATGATATTTCCTGGTGATTTCATATCAAAATAGAAACTAAAACTACTTCTGTTTTGAAATCAGCCAAGATTGGCTACATACTAGAACCTAATTAGGACTTTTTAACAGTAGCATTATTTGCATTCCAATCAATGACATACATGTTATTTCAATAATGTTTGTATTCCTATAGCCTGTATCCTTTCAGTGCTACTTTCTTTGTCTACTCTGATGCTAGTGTCCATTGCTACAGTTTCTTTTGAAAAACTGCGTATACTTCCTTGTACAGTGCTAGCAGTTAGTTGCCTTGTACAGTGGATTGCTAGCAGTTAGTTGCCAAGTGTAGACAAATGGTGGCTCCTGGAGGGAATTTTTAAAAAAAGTATGAAGAAAACATTTTCCTCTTTTTTATTTTGTCAAGTGTTATGGTGGAAAAATCAGAAATTAGATATAAAAATATTTCATAATTCTTTAAAATATATGTAAGAATTAAGATTTTTTTCCCTCGGGTAGAGAAAAATGCCTTTTATATCAGGTTTTAAACAGGCTGCTATGTACTGTAAATGTTTCTCAGTAACAGTTTCCTCGTTGTTTGAACAATGATTCCTGTATATTCTATTCAGTGTTTCCAATGCTACCAATTTTAACTTGATATCCATATTTGGGCCTTAATAGAGTCAGCCTATAGGGGAGATGGATAGCATAAATACATACATAGCAAAATGCACATTGTACAACTTCAGAATTAAGATATATGGGCATCTGTAGCACTAATACTTGCTCTCTCTAATATTGGTATATTAGCAGTTTTGTTTCTACAGGAGTCAAAGAGATGTTCTTTACAGACATATTTTGCCGTAAATCCCAGCGAACTTTATTTATTAATTTTTTATGCCTCATGTGACTAAAAAAAATTAAATAACTCTGAATTATCTTTGACACCAGTGGTCAACCACTTCCTTGTTGGAGACTTTATGTAAAATTGCTATTAATTACTAATACCAATAGAATTAATTGTTGGAACATCTGATTGACATGTGTCATTGTTTCTGATGGATCTATTCCATTGTTTTCTAATTTGATATTTACCATGTGTCTTCAACTACAACTGCCATAATTTTCTTCCATATGTGAGACAAGACTAGATTATATATATATTTGTTTGTGTCTATGCATGTGCATGCATCTTTGAGTAAGTATTTCCTCCTAATGATTCCCTTCACACGCCCCTGCAGTTTTCTTGGCAATATTTTGGAAGTGGTTTGCCATTCCTTTCGTCCTAGGGCTGAGATAGAGTGTTTAGTTCATCTACTGGCTTTGTGCCTAAGACAGGACTAGAACTCACAGTGTCCCATTTTCCAGGATGGTGCCTGAACCATTAAGCCAAACTGGCTCTCTTTTTCTATAATTTGGCTTCGCTAAGGTGAGTCCTTATCTTATCTATTTCTGGATTGATATCAGGTGCAACCAAATAATGACATAGAACAATCCAGCTAAAAGCTCAGTTCTTTATTTGCTTATACCATATAGACAGAATCTTACCATACTTAATCTATGGTACTCTAATCCTAATGCATAGATCCTGGGAGATGGTGGCTATCCTTATTCTCTTTCTCTGATCCAGCTCTGGGTTGTGTTGTCTCTTGTCTCATCCCCTCTGCTTGGAATGTACTCCCTTCTTCATGAGAAACCTTAATGCTTTCATTGTAGTCCATCACACTCCCCCCTTCCCTTCAGTAGACACATTCCATTACATCTATAGATAGACTTTGTAGAGATGATCTTCTCTATTTACATTTTTGTTATTGCACTAAAACTAGTATATTGACAAGGGTACTTCCAGCTTGACTTTCTCCGCGACGCTCTGATTTTCTGGGTAGTAGAAACTTCTTTTTGCTTATGTCAAGCCCAGATATAATAACATCCATGGAATAAGTTCTCGCCTTATCAGCCATGGTGGTAAAGTGGTTAGAATGCAGTATTGCAGGCTAATTTTGCTGACTGCCAGCAGTTCGATTCTCACTGGTTCAAGGTTGACTCAGCTTTCCATTCTTCCAATGTTGGTAAAATGAGGACCCAGATTGTTGGGGGCAATAAATTGACCCTGTAAACTGTTTAGAGAGGGCTGTAAAGTACTGTAAAGCGGTATATACTGTAAATCTTAAGTGCTATTGCTATTGCCTTTCTATATTAAATGTGTGTTTTCACAGTGTGTTTATAGTGCATTTCCTTTCCTTTACCTCAATTTTCTGCTATGTGGGCTGTGCAACTGCTTCCCATCATTGCCTTTTTCTCTCTCAATAAATGGACTACAGTTAAGTAAATATTAAATTAAGTGTCTCTTGGATGTGATCATTAGTTCACCACCTTTGAGCTTTTAGCCAGAATAGAGAAATTATCAGCATGCACTCTATATACCTAATATTTTAGGTTCGAATAATTGTGATTTAAAAAGAGGTGTTTTGAAGCAGATTTTTTTGGGGGGACCGTATGTGCATTAGAATGTGACTTCTGTTTGATGGTAATAACCCTGGGCAATGAGGCAGTAGCAATAGAGAGTAGGGGAAGGAGCAGAAAATGAATTCTTACTTCCAAAAGTGATATTTCAAAAGCCAGGAATGGAAAAAAGGGTTGACGCACATGGAAGACAACAGGGAGAAAAATCAATTGAATAAAGCTAGCACTAATGAAGTGAAATAGACTGGAAACGAAGTCCTAGGTACATGACGCACAAAGATGGACTGGAGGAATGTAGTTGCGATACCACAGAAATTACACTATTTTGCTTCCTCTTCTCCTCCCATCCTTGACATTCATAGGGCACATAGAATACTTCATAGCACATAGGTCATGTAAAGCTGTATTAATTTATGGATAGATCTTCTTGGAAAAAATGGACTGGATTCTTTCCTCTAACTCTTTTTCTCTATATTGGTCTATTCCTGCTGGTACAACTAAGGAATAGAAAAACATGTTGCGGCAGAATTGGTTCAACCTCGCTATTCTTCTTAGGCTGCCATGATCAGCTGTTTTGACTACTACTCTGCTGCAAAGTCACCACCCATTTATAAAGTTGACATAACTCTCTGCTATCTCATTTTACATTAATCAAAATCTTAATGTGAAATCAACAAATATACCCAAATGATCGGACTCTGCCCTCTTCGTACCTTTCAGCTCTGTTTTTCAAGCAGCTGTGCTGTCATGTGCTCCACAGTTGTTGAGAAAGCCAATTCCTACACGATTAGGCATTTTAGGATATATGTCAGGCCATTGTTAGATCTGGTTTAGTTTAAATAAAATAGCCAACACTCCAGAAGATAGGCTTAGGATACAGGAGGATCTGGACAGACTTGAACACTGGGCGCTATCTAACAAAATGAAATTCAATGGTGAAAAAAGTAAGGTTCTACATTTAGGCAAGAAAAACCAAATGTACAGGTATAGTATAGGGGGTACCTTGCTCAATAGTAGTAACTGTGAGAGGGATCTCGGAGTCCTAGTGGACAATCACTTAAATATGAGCCAGCAGTGTGCTGCAGCTGCCAAAAAAGCCAACACAGTGCTAGGCTGCACTAACAGAGGGATAGAATCAAGATCACGTGAAGTACTAATACTACTTTACAATGCCTTGGTAAGGCCACACTTGGAATACTGCATCCAATTTTGGTCACCACGATATAAAAAAGATGTTGAGATTCTAGAAAGAGTACACAGAAGAGCAACAAAGATGATTAGGGGACTGGAGGCTAAAACATATAAGGAACGGTTGCTGGAATTAGGTATGTCCAGTTTAACAAAGAAAAGGACGAGGAGGAACATGATAGCTGTGTTCCAATATCTCAGAGGCTGCCACAAAGAAGAGGGAGTCAAGCTATTTTCCAAAGCTCCTGAAGGCAAGACAAGAAGCAATGGGTAGAAACTAACCAAAGAGAGAAGCAACCTAGAACTAAGGAAAAACTTCCTGACAGTTAGAACAATTAACCAGTGGAACAACCTGCCTCCAGAGGCGGTGAATGCTCCAACACTGGAAGTTTTTAAGAAGAAACTGGACAACCATTTGTACAAAATGGTATAGGGTTTCCTGCCTGAGAAGGGGGTTGGACTAGATGACTTCCAAGGTCCCTTCCAACTTTATCATCATCATTATTATTAAGTAATCTGTTTGTGAGCCAAACAGTGTCCAATCTATTGCACAAGGCTTTAGACCAAAGGGGGGGGGGGAATGGAGGATGGAATACTGTATATGAGTAATCCTTGACTTACCACCACAATTGGGACCAGAATTTATGTTGCTAAGCAAGGTGGCTGTTAAGTGAGTTATGCCCAGTTTTACAACCTTTTGACTATTGTTAAGCGAATCATATGGCTGTTAAGTGAAGCTTGCAAATGGTGGCTATATGACCCTAGGATGCTGCAACCATCATAAATACATGCCAGTTGTCAAGTGTCTAAATTTTGATCATGTAAACATGATGCTATGATGGTCATAAGTATGAGGACCTGTTGCAAGTCAATTTTTTCAGTGCTGTTTTAATTTGGATGGGCATTAAACAGATGATTGTAAGTTGAGGACTACCTGTACATCTTCTTGAGAGTTCTAGACAGAAAGATGGGCACAAATATAACTAATTTTACCTGTCCCTTGTTCTTTTTATCTTAAAGCATGTGAAATTATGCAGTTTTACTCAGAAATTGAGCTTTTCATGACCATAGTTCCCCTGTCATGATTTCTCATTTAATTGACATGGTTGTCATGGTGAA